GTTATTGACCTGAATTTGGCAGGGTAGGGAGTGGGGATCATTTACAGCACAGTGAGGAGCATTTTGGCTCTGGCTGCACATTTCAGACTGGAGGTGAGTGCCTTATCTCCTCCTTTATCTCATCCACTTCTGATCCCTTGTTAGTTATTTTAACATCCTTTGTATCCCACCTGACCCCTCATTTGGAAGCTCTTTGAATCAGGGATTGGGTTTGCTGTTCAGTGCTCGTTTGGCATTGCAGCAGAAATCAAACTGTAATTAATAAACAGAAGGAGGAAGTGTTTCTGCAGGGCTGGGGCACCAGAGGATGCTTGGGGAGGGACAGCACACCCAACACCCAGCTGCCCTCCCAAAACCCAGGAGATTTTGGGATAAATGAGGCACAGAATTTGCTTTGAGGGACTGATATTCTCTGTGAGCAAATGCGAGAGCTGTTGGGAGGCAGGGAGGAAAAGGAAAAGGGCTTTGATGAGGTCTTGCAGTAGAAACCAACTCTGCTGCCTGGCATCCCATCTTCTCCAGCAGAAAACTGGAGAATATTGGATGCCATGCAGCTGCATTCTGCTTTGGCACAACACAGGCACAGCAAATAAGAAAAGAATTGTGTTTTCCTTTCTCTGAGGTTCAGAGAATGTGAAACCCAGAAATATTCTTGGGAAGAATTGTGCCTTGCCTTTCTCTGTGAAGAGAAATGTGGTGACACCGGGCACACTGCACATGGTGTCAGTGCCTCGTGGCAGCACAGGGCCCTGCTGGCACTCCCTGCTGCATTTTGGGGCTCCCCACCATGCCAGGGGGAGCTTGGCTCCAGGAGAGGGCACACACATCCTGCACAGCATCCACGTGGCCCTCGCCAGGGTGCAAAGACAAGGGCAGGATGGAGGTGCATTTTTCACACAGGGTTCTCACAGGGTTTGGCTCTGCTGCCTCTGCAAGGGCTGAGCAGCACAGCAGCAGATTGTGGAGGGACACAGGGCCCTGTAACTCTATCAGCTTTGATCAATTTTTCAGTCGAGTTGGGAATACACCAGAGAGCGTGTCAGCGTGCTTTATGGAGGGCTGCGAGTGCCTTCCATGGCTAATCCATAAAATGGGTTCCTGGAAAACAGACATTCTGTTGTCACCATGAGGAGACTGCTAAGCAGTGAGGGAAAAGCACAGAGGAGGAAGAGCTGGGATGTGCAGTGCCTGCTGCAGCTGCTGGGAATGCCCTGGCAGGGAAGGTGGGCAGCCTGTGGTGTCCCAGGCACAGAGGGAGGGACAGGGCCCTGCTGCCATCCCAGGGCTCCTCCAGCCCTGCCCTGCAACCCCCTCACCCTCTGGCCCGGAAAAGCAGCTGCCCTTCTGTTCATGCTTAATGAAGCAGAGCAATCTGGTTTTGGCAATTCGTGGAGACTCAGCTGAAAACACCAAACAGCTCCCAGTGCCTCTGTTCTCCCAACCCTTAAAGCACTGATTGCCATGAACTGGCAGCTTCAGCTCCATATTTTGAGCATATGGAGTAGGGAAGACATTTATTTTGATAATATTTGAATTGTTCTCCCACTTTTCTGAATTTATTGTTATGATACAAGAATTTGCCTTCGGGGTATTTACCAGAGCCTTTTTTCTCAGACTCCCAAAGACACCCTGACACCCACTCTTCCTCCCTGCCAACCACTGAAAGCATTCATGAGATTGCTCTGAAATGAATCAATTTTTGGATTTCTTTCAAAGCATTTCTGTGTTTTGAAGCCTGGAGTGCATTTTGGGTACCTTAGCATACTCCCAAGACAGAATTTTGCTGTTAAATATTTCCTAGAAGAGCGTTTTTGTTTTTTTTTTCCCACATTTCACCTTGACTTCAGGAGCTGGGAATTAAGATAAGCACCAAATATCCTGACACTTGAGATAAAATAGTGAGAGAGGGTGCTCACTGCAGAAGGCCAAGGTGACTGGAGGTCAGAGCTGACAATTAGTGTAGGGCTGGAGCCCTCCTCACTGCCACAGCATTCCTGATGCATTGCAGGGACCCCAGCAGCCTAAATGTGCTCCTGGGGCACCTCTGTGGAGAGCTCCTGCCCTGGAGAGCAGGACTGGTCCTGCCTAAGCCTCTGCCAAACCAATGCTCCTGATTTTGTCTTGCTTATTCTGAGGGCAACTGTGCATTTCAAAGGAGGAGAAACAAACAAAAAAAATTACCCAGAGATTTGACTACTGAGGAAATCTCCTGGCTTTCCCCCCCAGTTAACTGCTCCAAAGTATGGGCATTTTCAGAGATTACCAGTTTGCTGAATACCATTTTCTCCCCTGTGTTCAATCTCAAGTACCTTTTCTTTCCACGGCCTATTAAAAAGACTAATCCACTAACTGAAAGGCAAACCCTTTCTCCTCCTAAGTCTTGGAGCAGGGAATAATATTCAGCAAGAAGCAATTGCACCATAACTGCTGCCTGAGGCCCGATCCCTGCAGGATGAGAACTCAGCGAGTGAGAAGTTTCCAAATGACCTCTGTCAGCTGCTAAAGAGAAAAAGGAAAGGCAACAGCAGCCCCTGTGAGTGGGAAAGGGCAGTCCAGCTCAACGTGATGGGATCCAGGCATAGCAGAGAGCAGAAAAGTGTCCTTGCATCCCCATCTAGTGGCTCTGGGTAAAATAAATCCGTGGTGCCTGGCTGGGACCTGCTCTACTGTGCTACTGCAAATGCACAGCGCTAAATTCCGTGTGCCAAAGGTGCTGGGTTTATCTGTTTGTGTAAATGCTCCTCAGGGTTTGAGAGATGACAGAACGCCAGTGGAAAAGAAGCTTTGGCCCAGTGTCCTGGGTTGACTATATGATGCTTTTATCCCCAATTGATTCATTCTGTCAAAGAAGAGTGAATTTAGCTGAGGTTTCTCTTTTTAAGAGTGGGACAGACCAGAAATGTTCACAGAGGAACAGCCAAAGCCTGTGAAAGGTGAGCATCCCCCACTGGGCTCATGCCCACTCTTCCACTGCTTCTCTCTGCTTCCCCATGGAAATGTGGCTCATCATCCTATGTACATTCCAAGAGATATTCCAATTTTTCTAACACATTTTTGCCTGGCAGAGCGGCTTTTCCTGGGATGTTTGGCTGCTTGGAGCATTCAGATCCCTTCAGTTCAAATGGGGTGTGATGGCTGGGCTCAGTCTTGCTTTACCAGCAGGTGAGCAAAAATAATTTAAATTCTGATCCTTCATTTCCTGCCCCCCTCAATTCATCCTCTTGAACCACAAAAACCTCTCAGGAACCAGTCTCCAGCTTTAGTATTTGCCCTGCTGACTTTGAGCTAGGGACAAAATCTCTTTTGCTGGCAATTCCTCATGTTTTGGTACAGCAGGATCTGCAAATGCCCCTGTTTTGGAGTGCTGTTCCTGTTGGATGTGTTTGATCCTGCTCATGCTACTGGCAGCAGCACACGTACAGCCACAGAAATTTAAATTCCAAGTGTGTTTTCCTGGCTGAAGACTTGTGAGTTTTTGAGGGGTGAAAGGCACATTTTACCATATCTATCTTTGCTCTCAAAGACATATTTTTTGAATACTGGGTGGGTTGTAGAGCAAAGCTGATGTTCACCTTGAATCAAAGAGTCTTTTTTGCAGGCAGCCACATTGGACTTTCCCTCTGCCCTTACCTTGGCTCTGTAATTACAACTACATGAGTTAGGACCTCTAGTCAAACAGATTGGAAAGGGTCATTTTAAAAGGTCTGGAAGAGCTGTACAAGGACCCAGGCTTTTATAAAGAGGCAGGAAAGGTTGTGTTTAAAAAAAAACGAGCCAAAAATTAGCACCAAGACACAAATACTTCAGGTTTTTGGCAGGTTGAACATGAAACATGTCTGGAGCCCAATGAGGGCTGCTGCCCCCAGGGAGGGATGGGTTCTGCTTCTGCAGTGCCTTTTTTTCAGTATTTATCAGAAATTATGTTCTTTTCCCCATAGGAAAATATCCTATATAAACATATTTTTAAAAATACTGTTGCTCAAAGTCCAAAATCTACTGCTGCCCAGGATTAAAGGATTAAAGAAAAACAACATTTCTTCCCTTAATTAGAAATCTTGTTGTTAACTGTCAGAAAAATGGGTGCTACAGAATTGCTGCTTATCCTTCTCTCCACCAGAATTTGCTTGATGGAGAATAACATGTTTGCATGGAATATTTCACCTGGGAGAGTACAGGAACTACAGTACTTGAGAGGATTAGTCTGGAAAACTGAAAATATCTGACTGATGAAAACATTTTCATTAAAACAGGAAACTGCTACAGAAGAGCTTTGCACACAAGAAAATCAGAGTTACAGGAAAATCAGAGTTACAGGAAAATCAGAGTTACATTACCTGAGCTTTAATTGATTGTTGGATTTGGAAGAATCTCAAAAAACATAGTACACATGGAATCATACATTGGTTTTGGTTGGAAGGGGCCTTAACCATTTAGTCCTAAACCTTCTGCCATCAACACTCTAAAAATGCCAAGGACCACCCTGACAATCATCAGCCTAGAAGCTGATTGCTATTTAGAAGGTAAATTCATGGAAATTTGATGTCAAACCCAGGCTTTCCTGCCTGAAGATGCAGATCCAAGCTTGTTGTGGTGGGCTGACAGAGATGGAAAATGAGAGGGGCTCAGGCCATGGGCAACACCAGCCTCAGCCAGGCTTGCCCTGGGGAGAGTGGATGACCCATTTCTGCAGGACAGCCCCAAACCGACCTCGGGAGCTGCAGAGCAAACACAGTGGCTTTGTTTTCCTCTCCTTGCAGCCCAGCTCTGCCTGCAGGCACCCTCCCTCTCAGTGAGCAAAGATCAGCTTTTTCAGCTGGCAGGGCACACAGGGCTGAGAGGGGATTGAGTCACGAGCTGGGCAGAGCACGGCAGGCAGGGCTGGCAGAGGGACATCCTCCGAGGGCACCGCTGCCAGCAGGCACTGCCCACAATGTCCCCTTGTTGTGGCCAGAACAAAGGCTGCTCTTGGAGCCTAATGCCGGCTCGGGGGGGGGCTCAGGGACACGGGGAGGGAGCAGCACCCGTGGGTGTACAAGGAGGCTCCCCCATTGCAGGGCTCCAGGCTGCTGGACGTGTCTGGGCACTCCGGGAGGTAGG